ATATATGGACAAACCAAATTTTCCATACCATATCATCATATTCATTAATCTGATAAGATGGAGTGTCTCAATTGAATAAAAAATTGAAGTCTAACGATGGTGACAAAAGTGAAACAATGAGTTGGTGAACTTCAATACTTTTAATGACAAAAAACATACTAACTGCAAGAGTACATAAAATCAAGTTTTTCTTCCCTTACAAAAATAACGCTTTGATGTTATAATAAATTGATTTAGAACATGAAATTAACTGGGTATCATGAGATTATGTTAAAATATACAATATCCATAGGTAGATATATTATAACAGCAAAACATCTCTACTATTTCCAGTTATGCACAACCAGATAACATCTAATTTTAAGTACCCTCTCACAGAGGAAAAAGAAAGGGTGAGATGCACACTCACAGATGGACTAAAGAGGCATGATTCTGGAAGTAAAAAGTATGGCCATTGGGTGAAGAAATGGAGAAAAATTGAGAGGAAAAAGAAAGGGTTAGATGCACACTCTTTTTTATTCAAAAAATATGGACATTTTTTCTCTTATTTATAATTAAACACTTTCAATAAAATTATATTACACGTAAAATAAACAATCGCCACTTTACATTTTACAATTAATGTAAAATTATTTTTGACATCACTCACAAATTTTTAAATCGCTTAAAACAAATATTCGTAACTTAAAATATTGAATCAAACGTAAGTAAAAGGAAGTTCGTGGATACTGTCTACATCAGTGTTGCTCAGTCAACTGAATTTGTCCCCTTTTTTTCTTATCTTTCTTCCCATGTCAATTTTTTAATTTAATGATAAAATTTGATGACATCAGTCCAAAACAAATGATATGATCATGTGCAATAGATCCAAATAGGTTGAGGATAAATAATATTTATTATAATGATATGTTCAATAAAAATCCATTTTGACGCCATAAATTTACTCTTTTTAAATGCAGAAACTTAAGAAAAATGAAATTGGGAGAAATTGGTGTAAGTATGGGATTGATGGTGGGTTAGAAAAGAGAAATTAACTTAAAATTCTGAATTGGACGCAAAAAGAAGGGGTTTTCACAATTAATGTAAAATTATTTTTGACATAAAAAACAAATTTTTAAATCACATAAAACGAATATTCGTAAATTAAAATACTTAATCAAACGTTAAAAAAAAAGTTTAACCGATCCGACCTATATAACAAAAAAGAAAAAAAAAAGCCTTGGACGAGTCGACCCGTAAAGTCATTTGGAATCAAAATCAAATGTAATTAAAAAAGAAAAAAAAGCTTGGCCAAGTCGACTACATATTTAGGATGATCGCACTTCAACATTCCAAAACAAAATTAAATCGCTTAAAATGCATATTTAGAACATAAAATATTGAAGCAAACGTAAAAAAGAAAAAAAAAATCAGTTCAACGGCTTAGCCTAGCCGAGACTAAAAGTCTATCGGCTCTGTTTGGAAACGTAAAAAAAAAAGGGCCGAGCCAAGCAGAGTCTAGCCAGCGACTTATGAACAGTGCTTATAAAAAATGAAATTGGGAGAAATTGGTGTAAGTATGGGGTTGATGGTGGGTTAGAAAAGAGAAATTAACTTAAAATTCTGAATCGGATTCAAAAAGAAGGGGTTTTCACTAAGGGTGTCCAAAAGTCTCGAACCGAACCGGACCGAATCGAACCCGAACCGAACCGAACCGAATAGAGCGGTTCTTCATAAATTAAATACCCGAACGGGTACCCAAATCGAGAACCGATGGGTTTGGGTCGGGTATCGGGTCTAGACCAAGAACCGAAGAACCGAACAAGAACCGAAACTAAATAATTTTTTTATTTTTTATATTGAATTAATTAAATTATTTTATTTTTTTCTATACAAATTAGCAAATTAATTAAATAAATTAGATTATTTCATAATTTTAATTTTTAAGCCCAAATCATTTTAAAATCCAGTAGCCCATTTTAATTTGAAGCAAATGAATATATTTTATGTAGTTTTGCTGTAATATTAATATCTACTTTTTGGTATTTGTATGCATTGAATTAATCTTATTGGAATGCTAGTTTTGTATATGTTTTTGAATTGGGCTACGTTAATTTGTAAAAGTTACGAATGAAATGTCATTAATTGTATTTATGTAGTGTTGCTGAAAATATTAAAAAATTTAATTATGGT